GATGGGCAATTCACCTGTGTGATTAACGACCTCAGAAAATCTGCTAGAGTCAGTATGTTCCAACTTGTTGGTACACAACAACAATTATGAATAGGATATAAAAGAAACTGCTAAACTCTAAACAAAGTAATTTATCAACGTTTTAACATCTGTCTGCCTTTTGATTATATTTATTGAAATGAATGCTATGTAATCTTTTTGATCCTATTTCCAAATCTAACTAGGACAAGTATTGGACATTGTTTCTTTGTGAAAAACCCAAGAGCTGATAATTACTTTCAAAGGCTATAAGGAATAAGTTATCTTTTAGGAATGGATAAAATTATATTTTTTTATAAACTGAAAAAATACATGAAAAAAAATGGATAAAAAGATATTTTTCTTTTCCAAATTTAAAGTTCAAGAGATAAAGGTTTTCCAACTGAAAACGAAGTCAATGTAACCTAGAAACAACAAAAGAAAGGCAATTCTTCAAGGTATTTCCATGCTCCTTGTTGGCTGCCCTTGAGTGACTCTGAGTCATAGTGGACTCCCGTGTTTACCCCGTAGATACGGTGTACACTACAAGAGCAATAAATAATTGTCAATATTATTACCGCTAAGAACTTAAAAAAATTCCATGGTTTATTCTCTCTAGAGATAGCTAAATTTAGTCTTAGTTCCTGGAAAATCCCTTTGAAAGTGTAAGTACAACAAGGACATGAAGTCTAAGCAGGGTTCTCTGTTAGAACTGTGATGCTTATGCAATGGTTAGGGACTCTTCTTGAATTAATTATTTGCCAATAAAGAAACAAATAACCAAACAATTTAACCCTCTGATAAAGTTCTCTTGGTATAATCCTTGACTCTTATTTCCAAATAGCATATAATAGTATTATATTATAAATAATATGCTATTTCCAATAGCATATAATAGTATATAATAGATTATAAAGTGCATAAATATCAATTTAATGTTTCCAGCTCTATAGTTAACCCTAAACTCAAGACTTCAAGAGACATTAAGAATTTAAAAAGAGTTCTGGTGGCGTAGTCTGTAGCAGGCTGTGCTGTTAATCGCAAAACCTGCTGGTCTCCTGAGGCTTGGATCCTTGGTTCCATGGGAGAAAGATGGTCTAGCAAGTCTAAGATTTCAGTTTGTTCACTGCTCCTGAATCCTGTCCAGCTCACAGCAGTCCTCCATTGAGTTTCTAAGATGGTAACTTTTAACATGATTAGACTGCCCATGTTTCTTCCCTTGAGCTGTGAGTAGCTTCAAACCTCTGGAGACACGTGGCCTTTTGGTTAACAAAACTAGGTAAAACAAACTAGGAACCCTAGAAACTATGAGTTGGATTGGACACAATGGCAGTGATTAGTCCTTGGTGTTAGGTCCCGCTAACCAAGATTTTAAGCCTCGACAATTGTATGGGGAAGTTTCATTCAGTCCTACAAGGTTGTTGGCACAGGATAGAAACAGATCTGTTGTTCATACTGTTGCTATGAGTCACACTTGACTCAATGATACTTAACAACAACACAGGGTCGTCAAGGAGTTTTGGTATCTGTACCTCAATCTGAACTGTGTTGCAAACCCAAAGGTTAGTAGTTTGAAAATATTTACATTTTCAGAAAACCCAATGGAGGGCAGCTATGCACTGGAATCTTCTAATGGAAGTGGGTGGACAAGATCACTATGTCTATTAGCTAGATCTGACTCAACAGCAGTGGGTATGAACTCCACCAACACACCATTCATCTCATCAACATAAACATTTTCAGTAGCAAATATTGAACTCTAATTTTCTAGTTTTCTTAGTTTAAAATTTTGTTTCTTCATTAAAGTCTTGTGGATTTAGTGTGGCACATAGTTTTTAGCACCCAAATTATGTTATATTACTTTACATGAACTGCTAAAGTTCATTACTTAGAAGAAAGAGTGAGTCCTATAAATTTTGACCCTACTCATTGTTTTCAGTCTCTAAAACAGGTGAGGTGAGAAAACAGTAGCATCATATATTCTTTCAACCTCTCTACTGTTTAGAAAAATACATGCTAGAATGTTTTACAGCCATCTAGCTTGCAACAACTGTAAATGTACAAGGGCCCACGTGCTTTCTCTAATGAAATTGGAACTTTCAGTATTTAGTGCCTAAAAAGCAATTAGATACTCTAAAACTATTCTGTATTCTTGACTTTGTTCTCCAAAAGCAGACACACAAAGGGAAATCACATAAACTATAATCCAATGGAGTGGATTTGATTTCCTTTTCCTATTTGGTCTACATACACCACCTAGTGGTAAAGTAGTGGATTTCATGTACAGAAGAGTATGTGTGTGTGTGTGTGTGTGTGTGTGTGTGTGTGTGT